GCTGGGGATTTAGCTCAGCGGCAAAGCGCCTGCCTGGCAAGTGCAAGGTCGTGAGTTTGGTTCCCGGTACCAGAGGAAAAAAAAAAAAAAAAAACAAATGAAGAAAAAAAATAATGAATTTCAAAAGCTCTAAACAATGACACCAGGAAGAGAATAACTACTTTTCCACGTCAAGACCTCATTACTAATGTATGTATACCAAAGCATGCTAGTTGGTCTTCCTGTTTAACTACAAACAAGCCAAATTTGTTTGGAGGTCTGATTTTCAAAAGATTTGTATCTGGTTCATAAAAACTTAAAGATTTTAGAATGAGGCCCATATTTGTGAAAGACCACAAATCTTAGCTCAAAATTGCCTGCACTAGGCAGATGTGATTTACAGAGGTCGAATTTATTGAAAGGTTCACAAATTTGGGTGTCAGAACTGGGTAGTGGCCCCGGTCTCCTACTATTTGAGAGTTTTTGAAAAATCACTTAGCAATTCAATACATTGTTTACAATCCACAGAACTGGCCCATGTCACCTCAAAGGCCCCTTCAGCCCTTACATTCTACAGTTCTGACTCCACAGCATGTTCAGCAGTTGAAGGTGGACCCTCCAGCCAGTCTCTGAGGAGAAGAAATCTCCTAGCCTTCTGAGCTGGGACCATGTATTCTTATACCAGCTTAAATGACAAAAGCGTATCAAATAAGAATAGAACACAGGGATTTACCCTCCCTTGTAAATCACATTCTTACTGTCAATGCTCAGCAACAGGGAGTAGGGTACAACACATTTGATGCAGTAATAATTCAGTTCAGCAAACAAGGCCTGCTAGGTGGTTTCCAAGCAACCAGAAAGGGAAAGAATGTGGAAGGAAATAGTAGAGGCTTCAAATCATGAAAACCATGAATGAACTTCAAACTGAGAATCAAAAGGAAACACAATCAAGTCCTAAAAAGTATGGGCAAGGCATTTAGAATGACTGCAACTGTGGAAAGCTTTTCCCAACAATACTAACAAAACAGCTTTGAGACTATTTTACCATTAAGAGGTTCAATAAAATAAAGTCAGATTGTTGATTCTTTGAAAATGCAAAGCTAAAATTGAAATATTTTGGTTTGTGAAAAATAGAATCATCACATAACTTTGTTAAAGGCATTTTTACCTCACCCAAGAAGTTAAGGATGGTCTCTATTTAAAAAAAAAAAAAAAAAAGAAGACTCCTTATTATCACAGTAGAGTGCCCAATAGCTCAAACAATTACACAAAACATGATTGTTACTGTTTACTGAAGAAAGACATTATTACATTAAAATAAATATCTCTAAATAAAACAATGAAATAAAAACTGATCTCTATTATGATTCCCCTTTCTTTAGGAAAATTGACAATCTAATGAAAATGGGGAAAATCCAGTAAAGCTAAACTGGTGACACTTCTATTTCTCTTCAGGATGTATATAGTATTTGTGTATGTGTGTACATGTCCACATACATTATAATTTGTGTGTATATACACACTCATCTGTGTGTGTACATATGTATATTCACACTGTTATAGTTGGTAAGATCTCCAACACTGCCCTTAGGTCATTCTTTTAGGTCCCTAAGTCTTCAAATCACTAGTTCAGTAACCACACACATTACTTCTTTTATCCAAACCAGTGATCCTGAGATGATGCTGCATTGCAGGAGCAAAAACAGGATAAAGCTTCAAAATTAGCCATTTCTAGAATCTATCATTCAAAACCATATTCTCTTGTTGGTAGGCAGTAGACTAATTTTTTTATCATATAAAAGACAATCTTACCTTCTTCCTTCATGATGTGTTAGTAAACTTCAAAAATAATTTTCAGTACAAGAGTTAAGCCACTTAATCAATGCCGAATATTTAGGAAGCATACAAACTGAGCTTCAGATACTGTATATTATCAATAGTATCACTCCTCACCAAAAGTAAGTATGCCAAGAATCACAAGGAAAACAGCGAAAATGCTCTAGCATTACTCTCTTAATTTTAAAGTAATAACCAACTGTCTGAGAAACTAAATGATTTATTCACGGCAATAGAGAAGGCTACTAATAAGACTTAAACAAGGACTCATGCCTGAGATCCCCAATTCAAAAAGTACCTAGGCATCTATAAGGTATGATGAGTTTTACAGAATTTGAAACAGGTCATGTGGTACACAGTGTTAATCCATAGGGCTATTATAAAATGCTAAGCAATAAAAACACAGATAATAGCCTCTCAAAGTTTTGACTATAAAACACAAAATTATGAAATTAAAATTTATATAGAAGTCTAAACATTTTGCTCATGAATATTACTGGTTATAATGAATTTATGACATTTTAATTTAACCACTTACCATTCTAATTATTTAAATATAGGATGACCAAAAATTGCATATTTTTTCATTAATTTTTATAAGATAATATAACAGGAAATATAAAAATGACAATTTTATCAAATGTATTCAGTGTAAGAATCCACTGGTTGAAATGACATCTGCCTGAGCAATGCGCTGCCTGAATGCATGCAGGGTAAACTATTAAGTGGCTAAAAACATTAACCATGAAAAGAAAGCAAACAAACATCAGAAAGGCATTATAGCATAGTTACCCAATGCTATCAATCCTGTCTCCTCCACTTACTAGCTGCATAACTCTGAGAATATTCTGCCAATTTTCTTTGCCTCCACTTTTTTAGCTATAGAGTAAGGACAATAGTATTTACTTCATAGAGGGTTCATGAAGATCAGACAACTTAGTGTTTCTGAAGTACTTGAAACAGCTTCTGGCTGAGAACTGTTATTCTGTAATTTCTCTTCACTATTTACTTATTATTCTTTTCCACTTAGATAACAACCAGTTCGTGATATTTGATATTCCTCTAAGTATAGCCAAAGTTTGTATGACATTGGAATATTATGACATTTTTTAAAGGATGCAGGTTTTGAGCTCAAAATTAGGTAATGATAAAGACGTGGCAGAAAAGAATGTTCAAGGTAGGTAATAAAGCATCAGTTATCTTAGTCTGTTCAGTCCTCTGTAACAACACCATAAACTAGATGGCTTATAAACAAGAGAGATTCATTTCTCACAGTTCACAGGTGGCTGGGAAGTCCAAGCCAAGGAGGCAGCAGATTCAGTATCTGGTGAGGACCTATTTCATGGTTCATGGACAGCACTTTCTCACTATGTTCTTACATGGTAAAAAGGGGGAACAAGTTCCTTGTTTTATAAGAACACTAAAGCCACTAACAAGGACTCTACCTGCATCAACTAATCACCTCCTTAAAGCCCCACTTCCTACCACCATGACCTCAGGAGTTAGGATTTCAACATGGATGGAGGTAGGGATGCAGCACCTGGACCACAGCAGTCAGAAATCAGGAGAATTAATTACGGAGAACGACAGGCTGTGCTTGGCTTGGATTGGCAGATGCACAGTGAGAGGAAGTTCCAACATTTTCAAAACCAATCAAATCACACCTCATCTGTCACATCAAATTTATAGTGTCCCACCACCACCACAACTACTGCTGAAGAGCCCCTTTCTATCTCGTAACCATCCCTGCTTCCACTTCATCACATCAGCAAACTCAAAGGGGAAAAAATCCCACAGAAAATAGAAATCAAGTTCTCCCTCAAACATAATTCCCATGGAATTTCCCAGAAAGCAAACAAAGATGAGCCATAAAGAGAAGTCAGCCAGGCATGGGGGTACACACCTATAATCCCAGCACTGGGAGGCTGAGGCAGGAGGATCACTGCAAGTTAGAGGCCAAATTGGGATACAAAGTGAGTTTAAGGCCAGCCTGAACTGCATTGTGAGACCCTGTCACAAAAAGACCAAAAAGAAAAAGAAAGAGAGAGAGACAGAGAAGTCAAATGCATTTATCCCCTTTAGATCAGTTCCCCAACACATATCAGATGGTCCTAGACCTCCTTTAGGTCCCCAGTAAGCTGGTAAGAGCAGTTCAGCTGACACAACTCCTGGAGTCTCAATCAAGATTGTTGTTCATTCTTGGGGAGGAGACTGAAAAGATGAAATCTTAATCAAAATCATGTCCCTGATGCTTACCCCTCATAGTGCAGCATATAAAAATGGAATGACAGGAGAAAACAATGACTTAGAAGCCAAAACTTCCACAAAGTTTAGCCACATTATATGTGGTTAAACATGAGGTGACAATTCTGAGAGGGGGAAATAAAAGTGGGGACAAAAAGGAAAAGAAGAATTTTAAAGATCATAGAGATTTGTGGCAGGATATGGCAACACATCAGCCATACTGATTAAAATATAATAAGGCTTGAAGATCAATGAAGATGGAAGAATTTAGTAGGAGACAGAAACTGGGTACCTCTGGCAAGACCAGCCCTGGGAGAGAGTATGTAGGGAGAATCCCAAGTTCAGCCTTCCTACTTTTATTTTAGGTAAAAGCCAAGTATCCAAGAAACATCTTATAGATAGCTTGAAACTGTAATATAGAAGGACATTTTTGAAAGGTTTAGAATATCAATCAGCTAACAATTTAGTTAGTTTAAGAGCTTTCTATCATCAACAACAATGTATCTTTAAATTGTGAGCAAGAAAAATACAATAGGCTCAAAAGGATTTAGAATGTATTAAAATTAATTAATTAATCACTAGTATGTTAGAACAAAAGTAGGAGTATTGAAGCTATAACTTCAATATGTAAGGGTGATTTTATGAAGAACTATTAAATTTTTTAATACTTGTGTTTCTGTCAGACCTGAGATATTAGGAGTAAGGATCATTATTCTGACTTTAAATAGCATTTTACATGTTTATTTTGTTGTATAAATTACTTAAACTAAAGGCCATTTTAAGTCCTATGAATCATGCTTTTAGCTTTTACTTAAATTCTTACTGACAAATTCACACATCTGATTTAACACATATGAACAGCCATAAAGGGTCAAACAAAATGGAAACTTTTTTTAGCGCATTCATTGGATATAATTACACTTTAAATACAAAAGGCTTACCACGCTTTCCTTGATCTTCCTCAGCTTTTCATCTATCTCTCTCAGCCGATGTTTCTGACCCCGCTGCTCTTTAGTGTTTCGAAGTACCTGCTCTCCTGGCGCTGCTTCCACATTTCTTTCATTATCAAGGTCAGCTTCCTAATTAAAAAAAAAAAAAAGTGTTTTTCATAGGCTGGTATGTGTTACAATCACACACCACTCCGAAGAGATTGGGCCAATTTTGCTTCTCAGACAGTATTCTCTCCTTTCAAAACACACATAAAACAAGTAGGGAAATTAACTCAACTTAGGCACTCATCTGGAAAGCAAGAAGGTACTGTATAAGCCAAAGAGGCACAGCCAGGAGGAAGGGAGCCTGCGCTCTGGTCCCTACTCCGACGCTTAATCAGCATGAGATCTTAGACAAACCACAGCTTCTCTGGACTTCACGTTTACTATAGATAAATGATAATAAGAAAAAACACTGTCCATCTATGTTCTTAGAGGCAGCTGTGTAATAATGGGAAGAAAACAGGTCTTGGTAAAGTCATAGTTTTGAATATTGGGTCCACATGCTTCCTGACTAAGATGGACTTACAGAAACAAGTTAACTTTTCTGAGCTTCAGTTTCCTCATGTGTAAAACAATGGTAGTATGAGATCTAGCCTGAAAGTTGTCACAGCACATAACAGACATGCAAATCTCAGTTCCCAATGTGAGCTGAACGTGTCCTTTGAAAAAAATAAGCATTATATAATGAAAGTGCATCATTGTACTTCTCATTTCTCCTAGTTTTCAATCTCTAGGAATATTGGTTAGTACTATTTCTAGGGGATAAAGATGGACATTTCCTGACCAAAAGTCTGTCCTATGTCTAAAACTAAATGCCTTCCTTTCTGTCCTACAGATCTCCTCTTCTGTGTTACCACATAGCTAACTGGCACGAGGGACGTTTTTGGAGTCACTCAAGCCAGAATTCTCCTATCCCTTCCTCCCTTGCACACAGTTGGTCACCAGAATGCTCACTGTTCGAGCTTCTACCACCTCTCTGACAAAGGCTCTTCAGTTTTGCATTGCACTCTTCACGCTCTGTACGTGAATACTCACGCAGCCAAACACTGAAGATCCCAGCGTCCGTCAACAGCGGAATGGCAAAGTGCGATGAGGCCCTGACATCAGCTGGAATAATCAGCCCTCCTCCCTGGTGCCAGTCTCATGGTTAGGTTCAGTCAATGTTGGAAGAATATTAGGAGATTGGAAAGGAAAGGACAGAAAGCTTGGGCTATTTTCCCTTCTTTTTCCTGCTTTGGCACCAAAGTTGTGGCAAGAATATATCCCTGGGGTAGCCCAGGTTTTCTTAGAGTCAGATGGACATTCACGCTCAAAAACAAACAGAGGCTACACACAGAGCTAATGGACTCAAGGATACAGGACAGGAAGCACAGCAAGGCAATATCAGGGATCCCCTTTCAATGGGAGTATTTGCTCGAAGCCCATGTAGTAGCAGTATAGGTACAGGAGACAAGAAAGTCATCCTCTCTTGGTCATTTTCCCAAGGCTAAGACACAATACCAGACACCCAGAAATTGAGAGAGAAGAAGTTCATTTTTGGCTCATTGTTTCAGTTTATGGTGGACTGGCTTCCAGGCAGAAACAGTATGCCAGAGGGCCATAGTAGAGGAAAAAGCACTCAACCCATGGCAGAGAGGAAGCAGACAGGAAAGGGAGGGGCCAGAAACAGGAGCAGACCTTTCCAAGTCACACCCCCAGCAACCCACCTCCCACCCGTGCCTACCTCCAAACAACACATTCAGGTACCAAGCTCTTCAAGGGATGAAGCCACCAGTGAGTACAGAGTGTCCCCATGAGCCAATCTACTCCACACACGTTGAACTTTTAGGGGACATTTTAGGTCTAAACCGTAACATGCCCCATTCTTAAAACTTTATTGTCCCACAGGAGCCATCGCCTCTTGGATTGACTCCAGAGGCACAGAGCTGCCTCTGAGGGACCTCAGCAAGAGACAGACTCAAACACAAGGATCACTGCACGTAGGGAAGACCAAATATGGCTTCCTCATCAGGCCTTCACAATTTTCCCAATTCAAAGGGTCAGTTTTAACATAAAAAAGTTGCCCCCCAATTTAGGTGATATTCCCACTTTTATCAGATTGCCAGGTCTGGGAAACAGAGTTAGGAAGTTAACTACAGTTCAAATTCTCACGGGGAAGGAGGGGAAGGACTGACTAACCCTTTACCCATACTCTCTATTGCTAAAACTTCTCCCAGAGCTCCTATCACACTTTTCCTTCCCCCAACCACTGCTGTTAGTTTCTGCCTGACCCAACACCCTTTGCTAACTCCTTTAAATCTATGGAAGTTCTCTTCAGAAATCAGCCACATCTTCCCCCTGTTTCTTGTCCAGAACTCTAACTGATACACTATGCGGGCAGGGGGAAGACAGGTATATTTGTGTAGAAATACTGTGAACTGGAAGACAGCTTGACAGTGATTAACTTGATGGTAAAAATCTTGATTATTTTATTTGATTTTTCTTTTTTTTCTGTAGTTCTTGAGTTTCCTTTCTATTTTACTGGTACATTTTAGATACACATCATGATAACATTCACCGTAGAGAATGTGTACCTGTACGTGATATATTTTGCTTCTTCTGTTTTCCCCATTCCCCTCCCTTCCCTTCAACTTCGCTTCCCCTCCTTCTTTACAAAAGCTTTGCTTCTATTTTTTTCAACAATAAGCAAGTTATTGACTTCATAAGTAGAAGAGCCATTCTTTATTTTTCACAAAACAAAAAGGTTATTCTACCAAGGCTCTTATTGCTCTGCTCTGACAACGTGACTCTATATCCAAAAGGAACAGACATGAAGGTTAGAGTCCAGCTCCAGTACTGTGGGAACAGTCTGTGCACTTTTGAGGATATCATCTCCTCTTTCTGGGTCTCAGTTTCTTCTATGAAATTTCATTCCACCACTAATGGTTTGTAAGTCTGTAACTCTCTGCAGTTAGGATATGTAATGCCTTTCCTTAGTCATGGTCTCTGATAGCATGACCATACTGTTCAAACAGATGAAGGACACCACGTGATAAAGGCAGAGTCTAAGAGTAAATAAAACAGGAAGTCATTGATGTGGGCAAAAAGCACCCAGCTATATATGCAAAAAGCTCTATGGTGCCAGTAGGTTCTTTTCTCATAACAAAGTGCCAGCCAGTTATATGGTTTTCATGGTCACAAGAAATGTCTTGATTTCCTACCACAGAAATACAGTATTTTCAGCAGACTTTGCAGCTAACATATTGTTTCTGTGATTCCTGGTCATACAGGCACAATTTTATGAAGAATTCAGCAAAAAGTCTCCCTGATATGCAGAGACTATCTAAGGAAGCCACAAGAAGAGAATTATCCCTCGGGTAAACTGATAATCATTGATTTGACTAATTGATTGCCAAGGGATTTGAGTTCATCCTTAGAAAAATATCTGTGGTGCTGACTGAGCCAACAGGGGTCTCTGAAGCTAAATAAACTCATTTTCAGAAGTCAAATACGGAGGAAATTACAGCTTCCTAAGTTATCTGGTATGCAAATAAACCACTGCAAACCTCCCTGAGTAAAGCCGTTTGTCCTGTGTTATAGGCAGTGGTGCACACTTCCACAGGCAACTGCTATTTCCTGTCATCAGATGCGTCATTTGCCTGACAGTACCAAAGGGAATGGGGAAATCTTTCACATAGATTGTTTTTATCATCTTGGAATATTACCATGAAATAAAAATACCTTGACTGCACCGTGGCTCAGCAGAAAATACATATAAACTTCACAGTAATCTAAGACACAGGTGTCAAAAGCCATTTCCCAGATTTGGCTGAGAACATCTGACAGGAATGTCTGATGGAGAATGCTTGGCCTGGAGGCAAGCACCTCTGTAGTGACTTCTTGTTTATTCCTCAGCCCAGAAATCCCGCTCTTGGGGCACACTTCTGCATTTTCTGGAAACAAGCACCTAGTCAATAAGAGTTCAGTGCCTATGACTGGTATATGTTGAAAAACTACTAGATTCCTGCTCTTAAAGAGTGTACTAAGTAAATTTGGAGTTAAGTGGCCTCATGGCCAGTATTGAAACTATGCAAATCCTTGAAGCCAGCAAGGTACAGTAACATCTTTCAGGATTACATGTTGAACAATGGTCTATATTTTCTAAATTTTAACTAATATTGAGACAGGAAGAGACCAGAAATAATAAACATTGTTTCTGTCAGCAATAGCATGATCTTGGCAAGAAAACAGATAGATATAACTACAATTTTCCTCAATTAAATGTTTGTTAAACCAGACATGGTGGCACACACCTATAATCCCAGCATTCTGGAAGACTGTGGCAGGAAGACCGTAAATTCAATCCCAGTGTTGGAGACTTAGTGATTTAGTGGGTCTCTGTCTCAAAATAAAAAATGAAAAAGGGGTGGGGATTGAGCTCCATGCAAAGGCCCTGGTTTCAATCCCAGTACCCCCCTACCCAGCCACACACACGTCTGTTAATTTTTTGTTGGTCTGTCCAAATTTTGTAAAACAATCAGTATTTTTAAGAATAAGAAGATAGGGGCTGGGGATTTAGCTCAGCAGCAAAGCACCTGCCTGGCAAGTGCAAGGTCGTGAGTTCGATTCCCGGTACTAGAGAAACACACACACACAAAAAAAAGAATAAGAAGATAAATCAAAATAAGAGGATGTTTATATTCAACTAGATTAGTTGGTTTAAGAACAAAAGAATGCTTCTTGTCAGTGGAGGCATTTCTGAAGACCTTCCTCCAACTGGAAAAAAAAAAATAACCTTGAACTGGAATCCTAGATTTAGCAAGACTAATTGAATGAGAGATGAATAAACTACATTTCTTTACAAGAAGCAGAAAGAACAGAATACATTATTGATTCCAGTTGCTTAGGATTTTAAAAACTAAATGCTTATATAACTCCTGTATCCTAGATATTTATACAGAAAGTTGCTATATTATTTTTCATACATCTATGAATAAGAAAAATTAACTTATGAAACATCATTCAAATTTCTGGTGGGATTTATAATATGTGGAAAAAACTGATATATTGTAGAGCTCAGAGATGGATATGGAAAGGTATGCACAGTTAAGCCACAGATCTTAAGAAAAGAATTGCTTCAATTATTTCTCTTTTGCTAAGATGAAATAAAAGTAAAAAGCAGATGTAAAACCTGCAATCACACATTATTAACATTACAGCAACAGCAGTAATAAGCCATCATTTCTTTTGAATGTGATGACCATGTACTTTGTTTTACACAAAGGAAATCGGATATGTAAAAGCTAAATGCTGCTTTTAAAACATGGTTCTAAAGTTAAGTCCCAGGCCAGGTTGTCTACCTAATGTCTACTGAATGTTCAAGCTCATTAGGAAAGGAGATCTTTAATCTGCCCCTTTCATAACAACCAACACTTTCTCATCCTCTAAGCCATATTCCTAGGGTCCCTTTACCTCTTCTGGCTTAGCTGTGTTTATCACCATAAGTTTATATGCCTACCGATTTAGCCGCACATACTTAGCATATACAGATAACTTAGAAACTCTGTGCTTCTTTCAACTTTTCTGAAAATTGTTTTCTTGATAACATAATATGGTGATGGATATTGCAGCAAACCTGAAGATCTGTGTCCCATAGAAAGTGACATTTGCTACTCAATCCTGCACAGTAGCTCCAAGAAAGGACTCAGATATAATGTTGCTATATTATTTTTCAAGAGAAACTAGAAATTTTGAATTTTATACGAATTAGCTTCATTTTTAAAATTTGGCTAAAATACTTTTATAAGCTATGAGCTTTAATTTGCACAGCAGGCCACAAGTTTTACAGTACATGACAGCACTGTCCTGTGTCCCTGATCTCTTCTGCCTCCTGCTCTAGTTCCTTTCCTGCTCTGTCCCTTCTTACTGAAAGTGGACTTTCTTGATATTCCTTCTGGATGGTCTCATTCTGTGCTCTGAATGACAATGGCACATGTATCATAGTTATGTATGTATTACTCATTACCTTCCATATGGAATAAGTTCCTTATGCCACATATGACAACAATATTAATTTCATGGATTAAATTCTGCATCCTATACTGCAGTAAGCACCTTTTGTATATTACACTAGCTACTCTTTATAAGAATCCTAAAGAATATCATTACTATTTTATAAATGAGAGGGCTGAGATTTAGAGAGCTTCTAATTAATGCCCAAGTCCACAAAACTAGGAAGTGGTAGAACCTAATTTGAAGCAAGACTTCTATATACTAAGGTACTATATTTGTCTGACCTAACTTTGAATTCCCCATAATTTCTTATATACAGTGACAACTCAGTTAATATTTCATGAACTGACTGCTTAAAAACACAAAAATATTTCACTTAAAAGACATTTTGAAAAAGCACAAAGAAAAATTACTGATGAGTAAATAATGTGCATAAGAGTTAAAAATAAAAATATGTGAATGTGCACTGTTAATATTTGTGGTTCAGCAATAGTTTGGAGCCCATCCATTGGCTAAATGGATATGCAGGGCTTATCCAAGACATTTTCAGTGTACTTATTCAAAAGTATTCTGATCCAAAAATTATATCCATAAAATAATTTGCCATGTTAGCATTTCTGCCTTGAAAATTGAATGTGCAATGCTGGTTTTAGTTAGAGATGAGGAAATGCCAAAAGGAAATTGAACAAACACACGAGGGGTATTCTTTCTTTGCATGCAGCAAGCATCAGTCACTCCCTTTCAACAGCTATGATTGTACCTTTCTGTTTCTGCATCCAACGGGAGTCCCAAAATGCAGGGTTTTTCCTCTTCTTTGTAAATATATGCTGCTTCTTAAAAAAATACATAATCTCCGTATGCAAAAACAAAGTAATCAACTGATTGTTCCTTTCATTTTTTTCCAAATATTTTATCTGAACCATAAGGGGAGCTCGGAAAAAAATGTGATTTAGATGACAACGACGGAATCCTTAAATTCTCAGTTTCTCTTTCACGAATAACATTTAATAGCTATGAAAAAAACACCTTCTACCTTTCTGTCTTTGAGATCATTGAACTATAACAACCAAGGGGGAAGAATCAGCTGAAACATGAAAAGAACAAATATCTCTGAAGAAGTTTATCACCCCATCTTGACTTCTTCCTTTGGAGATGTGGAACCCAATAATGCAAATGAAGCAGCGTGACTTGTGTCAGCATCCTGCACATTTGAGTGGGGACAAAGATTCCAATTCTCAGAGTCTTCTCTAGACTCAGATCCCAATCCAGAAATGATTGGTGGGCACACTACTATCGATACTGCTCTCTCTAGGGGTCCGAAGCCGCTGTGCGTGGCCCTTAGAAACATAACCTAAGGAAGGAGAGATCACTCCGTGAGGTGCTGCCAGTCAAACTGATTCTCTGGAACATCTTGACTCTGCTCCTCTCCCCCAAGGTAGTTTTAACTGACCTAAAGCCAGATCCTTAACCCTGAATTGACAGCTTGGTAAAAAGATCCACTCTAAATCAGAAGTACTGCCTAGAGGCTAACAATATTTAAATCTTTTAAAGGACCAAGAAAATCATAGCTATCTATAACTGTACAGAAAGTGATACGGTGAAGACGTTACAAAGCTGGGGAAGAATAGCAGAAAAGATAAACAACAGAAGTTTTCTCTTCAGACTATCACCAAGCCCCAAACTAGATCACAGAGAATACTGAAATATATGGGGACAGAAGAAAATTGTACTTTCCCGAAGGAATACCACTCTCTGTATTCTACACTCTCTACCAGCTTTGTAAGAGAATATTTGAGGGAATTATTGAGAGAAGAAACACATTCATTTCAAAACCATCATAGGATAGAAGTCACCAGTAGGGTAAGCTTCATTCTCCATGCTAACTTAAAAGAGCTGGAAGATTGTGGCAGAGTAAGAGAGAAGTGGCTGCTACCACTAATATCTAGGACCTGAGAACAAAGGAAAATAGGTCTCTCAGAGGACTAATTAATACTACGTCAATAGTTGATCAGTCTTGCATATTTCTATTTGTTTTCCTGAGAAACCACTTTGAAGATATCAATACGTAGTACAACAACCATTGTTAATTTCCTACCATTTTGTCTGTAACTCTGTATTGATGATATTGTTCTCATGCTATTTTGTAAATAGATGTCTGTTTGTTAATATGTTTTCCTTCTATTTTTAAAATAAATTTTAAAAACTAAAAATAAATTTTAAAATATTACTGTGTCTATATTCCTACCTTTCCTACTGCCTGATCACAATCAAGAATTAGCTTAAATCATGAGTATAATATTAAAATAGATATTTCTTAAATGATTTCATCCCTGTAAATTACCAGCTGAAAGGAAAATGGGTAGAAGTAACCAAAGGCAATATACACTGAATGGAAATGACAATGACGGCAGCTATAGTCATGAAAAATGTAATTAGGAAAAAACCTTGAGTTAATGAGAAGATTGTGTGATTATATGAACTAGCTTTAGCACACATACACCTGAACAGCCTCTGTGCTCTTGAATTAAATACCTGATCACTCTCATTTTCAAGTCTTGGAGAAAAGCTGGAAGCTGTCAGCGGGACTGCAGAGAGTGCTTGGAGTTTTGTGTCAATTTCAGCAAGCTGCTCATGCTCGCTGGCAGCAAGTGTATATCCTTCTCCTGGGACCAGCCAACCACAGCGGTCACCCTAAGAGGAAACAAGGGTTACCAGTTCATTCCTGAGGATAAAAAATTAGACAAAAATGGGATATGGAAACGAGATTTTAAAGTTATACTCTAAAAAACCTACAGCTCAGGACACAGAAGTTATTCAAGCCTTTTCTTCTCTTCTAGTAAACACACTTAACAATTCCTAAAGGTCTCAAAGACACAGTAAGTCTGTAAATTGGGCTCTGGACCTGTCTTTTTCACCTATAAGTTACAAGTTATGGTTCCTCCATCCTCAAAGAAGCAGCAATATAAGTAGGCAGTATATTTCAACTTTAAACACATGTAAATAAGTGGCTTGCATTCGGACATAGCCTGCCAAATGGACAATCTAACAGACAGTAGGAACACATCCTAGATCACTCATCTTTAATGCACCTCGCAAGGCCTGATAAATACACTCAGCTCCAGCTCATCGAGTGCCTCCCCCTCTTGAGCCAGCCAGGAGAAAAACGTGCATTGGGACCATGACTTTCGTAAGTTCAACCAAAACCTTTCCTTTCTTTCTTCCTCATTTCCCCCAACCCTCTGTCTATCTTTGTCTCTCTCTCTCTCTCTCCCTTTGTCTCATTCTTTCTCCCTCTCTCCCCCTGTCTACAAACTTCTGCAGCTTTAGCTTTTTCCTTTTTAACAGTTACAGGCTCCCAAGTTCCTAGAAAAGGAGTGCTTGTACATAAAACATCAAAAACAAGAGGCACTGCCTCTCTCTAAACAAAAATGGAAAGTGGTGTTAAGAAGACTCTTCTACTACATGTAGCAGCCTAACTGGGTAGTCCCTCGGCCATACACCCTGTTCCTGGGTCCGATGGAACTAAAATTTGCTCACCAGAGAGACACAGAAGGATAGGTCCCTCCAGTGTCTCCCTCAAAGTTTCCCATGCAACCGGCACAGGAAGCGTGGTCTGGAGCCCTCACGGAAAAGACCAGTCTTTACAGTGACATCCAAGGGAGGCAATCTTCTTAAATCACACGCATTTTTGGTTTTAAACACTTTAGCTAAAAGGAGGGCCTCTAAACTGCTCTTCTTCCCTCTTTCTCCCCTTCTCCCACCATCTCCCCCTCAGCACCCACAAGCCGAAAGGCAAAAGCTCAGTCCACCTGATGCCATGGCTCCCCTTTTGGGTGGCTGAGAACATGCCTAAGCTGTAAATGGTCATTCAGCTGATGACTGACATTATCCTCAGGACTGCTAAACTCTATGGACTCAAGCTGAAAAGAAGCCCACCGGTTTTCTCTTTTTTTTCCCCTCTCCTCTCTCCCCTAACAAAGGCCCAATCCCATTCTGCACTCTACTCTGAAGAGTTCAACTGTCAAAAAATTCAAATCCTTTAACTTTTTGTTATATTAACTATCAAAAAGAGTCAGAGAGCTGGAGAGTAGGGGGGGATCAGTGGGAGCAGGCGTATCCCACTGCATGGGAAGGAGAAAGGAAGCACACGGCCTCTCTCTGCAGGTAGGAAAGGCCCACAGGCACATGGGAAGGGTACCATTTCAGACCTTCCCAGCTGTCTATCATAGCTTTCCCAGGTCCTAAGCCCCCTGTCCTGCCCTACCTTCAAGTACGTTTTCCCCAGAGCCTCTCTAATATTATCTCGCTTTCTCCCTGCATCTTATTTGGTTGTGGCATCCTTGTGATAATTTTAGCCTTGAGTTCAACTCCCTGTCTAAAGTGGTATGTGACTTGTAGTTGCTGAGTGACATCTATAGACTCTTTAAACCCACTATGATTCCTTGTACAGTGGACCTTTGGCTCATATTGGGTAATAAGTCTCTCTGTGGTCATTCACACTGTTTCCTAAACCTAAAAGAGCCCTAAAGATGTTCTTTAATTCTTGTCAATATAGTTACACAATAGAAACCTGTTAACGGAACCTAAATTTTGCCTTAAGAGTAAAGTCTAAGTAAATATATGTAAAGATTTCAATTCAGCTGCGATGTTAATTATTGCTACCCTCATGGTGTAACAAATACATTATGTGTTTCCCAAGTGCACAGGTATTATGTGATGCGGAATGTAGGAAAGCATCTTGTCATGCTGATGACCTCTAGACTGAAGTTATTTATGATGGATCTTTTTTCAGGCTTATGTTTATGTGACTGTTACGTAACTGTGTTATGATAGTTACATATGCCTAAAGAATATGCAGTTAGGCAATGTCACTCTGAAGATTGAAGACTAGACATTAATTATCTATAAAGTACACCTGCAGACAAGTACTTCAGCCCCTATGCTTAAAAAGTAGAAAATTTAGACAAAAGTTTATGTCATATAATTTATAATTGGATAAAGGTAAGCTATTAATAAGTTATTCTACACTAAAATGAGAATTTAAATGTATTTTTAAAAACTCTAACAGTTCTAATATATTAATACCATCATAATTGTTATGCTGGTATGGGGATAGAGCTCAGCAGCACAAGCACCTGCCTAGCAAGTGCAAGGTCCTGAGTTCGATTCCCAGTGTCATGTTTGCTCATGATTTAAAATTTTCCTTTTAGAACTTTATCACTATGACCTAACGTTCTACAGGAATATGGCTTTTATAAGATAATTAAGACAATAAGCCATCATCTACAATAGAGACAGAATCTAACACTGGCTCCTAATACTAATGATGACCATAATTAATAAAAGGTAACAGTTCTTTGGACATACTTTTTATTTCAAAGTGTTCAACACACAGATAGAATTACTATAGTTAACCCTACTGCTCCCCCTTCAATACTAGTGTAACTGATCTTCTGGGCATTCAACACCTGAGACTTGAAAACCCAAGTTAAAAAAAAGATAATTTGTCTAATCTTTTGGCCCTTTGTGCATTTAAGTCAGCCAGGACCCAGGATATGATGTGACCCTCCAAAGGGATCCTGCAACTCCAGCGAGTCACCCAAGTCCCAAGCAAGGAGGTCATTGGACCTCAAAGGACAGGTGTCAACCAGTGTACACAGTGCCTATAAAATAAAAATAGCAATATAAATATTCTAGCTATTAAACTTCATCACCTTTGTGACATAAACTAAATTGATATGTTTATATTATCTGGAGCCAGTCCTTACAAAAGTTCCTCAGGTCTACAAAACAGATAGTAAAAATTTTAATGGCCCAATGGTCAAATATAACCTAATTTAATATATTCATTTACCATTCTTATAATTAAAATAGGACATTAGATTTCTTACTGACAAAACAGGGAGGAGTCCATGTGCTCTTAAACTCCACTTATTATGTATTTGGGTAAACACTACAAAAAGAAGTAGAGGTTAACATTAAAGATAAAAGATTTATGCCAAATACTACTGACTTCCACCTTTTTGGGGGACCACTGTTCATCAATATTCTACTGTTAATTTTTGGCCCAGCCTTTTTAATAAAGTTATAAAATGAAGCTTAGGCCTCAATGTCTTTGTCCTCTTTTCCACACACTAACAAAAGATGATTGTTCATCAAACAACAAAACCCATCCTCCTTTGTCTCCCTTAGATTAGTCAGGGTGAGACTTCTGATCTCTGGCTAGGCAGGATCAATGCCTCTCCTCGGCCTGAAGCAGTTACAGAAGAGGGAAGGCAGCCCTTCTGCACCTGCTTAAGAATAAGAGATCAAAGTCTCGGGGGAGGGGGAATGATGTAGGATAGAAAAAACTTAAAAAGAAACAAGGAAAACAGGATTTTAAAACTGTAAAAAGAACTACAGCTCAAGATATAAAAGTTACTCAGGTCTGTTTTTCTCTTCCAGAGAACACACTGAAAAATTCCTGAAGGTCTTAAAGACACAATAAGCCTGTAAATTTGGCTCTGGACCTGTCCTTTTCACCTATAAATTACGCTTCCTCCATTCTCAAGGAAGCAGCAATATAAGTTAATGGGCAACAGATCTCAACTTCAAACACATAGAAATAGTTTGCATTCTGACATAACCTGCCAGAGGGTAACCTGACGGACAGCAGGAACACACATCTTCGATCCCCCATCTTTTTTTTTTTTTTTTTTTTTTA